TATTCCGGATGGCAGGTTCGAGACACGGACGAGAAATCCCGGCTACAAACGAACGACACGTGAGAATCAGCGACCGAGTAACTAACACAGTAGCTCGTACGAAACGGCAATCATGCAAAACGACGATGCTTTAATGAGTCGAACACAAGAACGAGCAAGCTGGACCGAGACAGATGTATTCGACAGCGCGGCATGCGAACAGCGTGGTACACGGCAAGCAAGTATATAAACAACGAGTTTACAAGGAACAGGTACTGGGGCTTGGCTTTTGATTCCCTTCATTCATTGTGCATTCGGTCCGCCAAGCCCTGTAAAATAAGCAAAGGAGACATTAGTCATGGCGGTCAATTTAAACAATACATTGCGGTTTCAACTGTACTACATTATCTCCCCTTCTATGTGAGGCACTGTCCCCAGTGCCAGCGCGTCTGGAACCACAGCGAGCCCCCCTTCAGCTGGCACTTCTACAGTGTGTTCGACTATCGGGAGACAACCGGGTGGCACAATTCTATCTACAGGCGTAGAACTTGAAGACGGTGTCATCGGTTTCAGTTGGTTGTAATGAACGGTCAGTACGTCGGCGCTTGGATCCGTAACGTTTCGAAGCACATACACAGTAGGCGAGCGTACGAACACAATCTCATATGGCCCCTGCCATTCCCGATGGAATTTTCCTGGTGCGCCGGCTGGAGGTCTTGGTCGGTGTAGCCATACACGATCACCTTTTCGGTATTCAGGGCCTCGACTTTGGCGATCGTAATACTCCTTCTGGCTGTGTTGCGCTCTGTTCATATGCTCCTGCACGCTTTGAAAGGCTACGCGGACTCTCTCACGGGTTATGCGGACGTATTCCGACAAAGAGTAAGCTTCAACCGGACAGACAGGTGATAGTAATTCCAGAGGTAAGCGAATCTCACGGCTGAGAGTAAGGTAAGCTGGAGAATAGCCGGTTGTAGAGTGCACCGAGGCCCGATAGGCAAGCATACATTGTGGCAATGCTTCGTCCCACTGATTAGACTGATGGCGCTCGACGAAGCTCTGTAGAATAGCCTTGATAGTCCTGTTGGTCCGCTCAACGAGCCCATTTCCTTGTGGATGATACGGTGTAGTTCGTGTCTTTTTAATGGCTAGCAAGCGGCACATTTCTTGCATTAGATGACTCTCAAAAGCCGCGCCCTGATCGGAGTGCAAGGATATGGGTGCGCCGTAACGAGCCACCCACTCGTTGACGATGGTGGAAGCGACAGTGGATGCATTTTGGCATCTGATAGGTATTGCCTCGCACCACTTCGTGAAGTAGTCTATCATAACTAGTATGAAGCAGTTCCCGCTCTTTGTTATCGGCAGAGGACCAATGATGTCTACTCCAATTCGTTGCCCTGGTGCGGAAGTAAGTATTGGTTCCAAAGGAGCACGAGGGACCGGTACCATTGGTTTCAAAGTAGCACAGAGCTCACATGACGCACAGAATTGAACGACATCGGCGTGGATGCCCGGCCACCAATACCGTTGTCGAACTGCAGCCTCCGTTTTCAACTGACCGGAATGGCCCAATTGTTGATGAACTTTTTGTAGTATTCCAAGAGATCGGGTCATCGGAGTAATCAGTTTCGGACCGGATTTATCAACGCGATACAGAACACCGTCGATGATTCTCAAGTCCTTCCAGTGCCCGAGTAGGGAGCGCTCTTCTGTGGTACGTTCACGAAGTTCAGTTCCAGTGGGTTTCGAGGAGCCATTCAGCTGTCGGTTGTAGGTGTTAGCTATATACGGGTCACATGCTTGCTCTTCGGCCCACGCGATATCAGTCTCTGGGGTTACGAAAGCCGAATTTACCTGTTCGGATCTCACTAACCTTGACAGCGCGTCTGCATTAGAGTGTCGTGTCCCTGGACGATATTCGCAGGTAAAATCGTATTCTTGAAGCTGTTCCTGCCATCTTGCTATCTGACCCTCCGGCTCACGGAAGTTTTTTAACCACTGAAGTGACTGGTGATCAGTGCGAACCTGAAATGACTTTCCAAGTAGGTACGGCCTGAAATGTCGCAAAAAGCTAACCAGCGCCAGTAGTTCCCGTCGAGTGGTGCTGTACTTTCTCTCGCGTTTATCTAAGCGGCGACTAGCGTAGGAGATCACAACTTCGCCTGCCGGTGTTCTCTGGGATAAAACTGCGCCGATCGCTTCATCGCTCGCATCTGTATCCAACACAAAAGCTCCCGACTCTGGTGAGGTGTCAGGGAGAGCCAAGATTGGGGGTGTCGTAAGATGAACTTTCAACTCCGCAAAAGCATTCTGACATTCGTTAGTCCAGCAGAATTTTCGTCCCTTCTCCGTTAAACGATGTAAGGGGGCTGAGATGGCCGCAAAATTAAAAATAAACCGCCGATAGTACGAAGCCAATCCTAAGAAACTTCGGAGTTCTGCTGTCGTTTTGGGTTGTGGCCAGGAAGTAATTTTTTCACATTTGGCGGGGTCGGTCCTCACACCTTCATGGGAGATAATGTGTCCTAAGTACTTAACTTCACGCAGGAGAAAATGACATTTTGGACCACGTAGTTTCAAGCCCGCCAGACTCAGCCGATCCAGTACGAGGCGCAGCCGCCGGTTATGCTCCTCAATCGATCGCCCATAAACGATTATGTCGTCCAAATAAATTAAACAGCTACCTGGTGTTAGGCCCTCCAGGGCTTTCTGCATTAGTCTCTGAAACGTAGCCGGAGCATTAACCAGACCAAAAGGCATAGTTTCGAATTCATATAGACCGTTGGGAACAGTGAACGCCGTTTTCTCACGATCCTTGGGTCTTACTTCTACTTGCCAGTAACCACATGCAAGATCCAACGTAGAGAACCAGCATGAACCATGGAGTGCATCGAAGGTGGCATCAATACGGGGCAGTGGAAATGAGTCTTTACGTGTTACCTCGTTAAGCTTTCGATAATCAACACAAAGCCGTAAGGTCCCGTCTTGCTTCTTCACTAAAACGATTGGCGACGCCCACGGTGACGATGAAGGTTTAATGATACGTTTGTCCAGCATCTCTTTGATCATTGACCCTAACTGCGGTTCGTAATGAACCGGCAACCTGCGCGCATGTTGACGAATAGGTCGATGGGACATGGTGTCAATCTCATGTTCAACTAGGTTCGTACGGCCAGGAGAATCAGCTGTCGAAAACACCTCTTCAAACTCTCGTAGCACTGAGATTAACTGGTCAGTGTTGTCTGTGGTAACGTTAGTGCGTCCAATAATTGGCTCAATGACCTCCTTTTGGAAATGCGATGTTACTGAACAAGTGGCTGCAGTAGTGAAGGCTCCTCGACCGTCCTGGTGATGATCAATGACGGTTGGCGTAGGAGTCAGCAATACGGTCCCGCATTTAAGTGCTACTGTACAACCATGTCGGGTGAGGAAATCCATTCCCAAAATAGCGTCCCAGGTCAAATTTCGACAAGCTATAAAGTTATGAGTGGCTACTACCCCATCAAGTTTGACGCGTGCTTGCAGTGTAAACTCTGTTCGCAACTCTACCCCATTAGCGGTGATAACACGAGGCTGCTGGCTGGTAACCGTGCACACGTTCCTAAGGCTGTGGGCGATATCAAGGCGAAGTAAAGAACACGAAGCACCAGTATCAATCAAAAAATGCACGCTAATATTATCTAAACACCCTGGTATCGTCAAAGGTTTAGAGTGTAGATTGCTAGTGAAAGTTGATGCCAAAAACTGACAATTGTGCAAAGTTGACCTACCTCGTGGTTTTCGAAAAACAATAGGTGGGTTGTGTCCACAGCGCTGGGCCCGTCTGCCGAACCGCTGACAGTATACGCAGTTCTCCACGGGGGATTTTCGTGCTGGGGAATGGTGCATGTGATCAGCTGCGAAAACGTCGGTCGATGGGCGTAAAGTTGAACAACTATCATGACCAAGATGGGTTCGGTCGACTTTGACTTGCTCCAAAAATTCCCGATTCCTGGCCTTTTCCAGCACCTCCTCCAGCGAACGAGGAAGTTTCAATGTATATTTGTCACGGAGGTACTGGTCGCGTAGGCCCATCGCAAATCTCTCACATATCCACTTTTCCAGATCCGCGTATTGAAGATCTGGAAACCCTTTGTGAGCCAAAATTCGGAGGGCTGCGAGGAAGGCATCTGCGTTCTCTGAGGGTAGCTGACGCCGAGCAAAGAATGTGTCACGGTAGAACGCAACGGGGTGGCATTTGAAAAACAAGCTTCGGAGAGTGGCCCAGATCTTCTCCACTGGTGAATTAGCTGGTACGCTCATCGTCAAGAAAATCTGCAATGCTTCTTCGCTTAAAAAGCTGAGGATGATCGAGCCGAGTGACCTTTCTGGCGCTGAAGCGATGTACCCATTGACTTGAAAGTACCAGCTTTCAAAGTCATCACCCGGGCTGAAAACCCGCGGTTGGCGACTGAGGGATTGAATCTGCGAACTCGTCTCTCGGACACAACACTCAATCTTCGGTGGGCTGAAATCACTTTTGCTCATACTTGTAGGACTGCCCGCGACGCCAATTTGTAATATATTCCGGATGGCAGGTTCGAGACACGGACGAGAAGTCCCGGCTACAAACGAACGACACGTGAGAATCAGCGACCGAGTAACTAACACAGTAGCTCGTACGAAACGGCAATCATGCAAAACGACGATGCTTTAATGAGTCGAACACAAGAACGAGCAAGCTGGACCGAGACAGATGTATTCGACAGCGCGGCATGCGAACAGCGTGGTACACGGCAAGCAAGTATATAAACAACGAGTTTACAAGAAACAGGTACTGGGGCTTGGCTTTTGATTCCCTTCATTCATTGTGCATTCGGTCCGCCAAGCCCTGTAAAATAAGCAAAGGAGACATTAGTCATGGCGGTCAATTTAAACAATACATTGCGGTTTCAACTGTACTACATTATCTCCCCTTCTATGTGAGGCACTGTCCCCAGTGCCAGCGCGTCTGGAACCACAGCGAGCCCCCCTTCAGCTGGCACTTCTACAGTGTGTTCGACTATCGGGAGACAACCGGGTGGCACAATTCTATCTACAGGCGTAGAACTTGAAGACGGTGTCATCGGTTTCAGTTGGTTGTAATGAACGGTCAGTACGTCGGCGTTTGGATCCGTAACGTTTCGAAGCACATACACAGTAGGCGAGCGTACGAACACAATCTCATATGGCCCCTGCCATTCCCGATGGAATTTTCCTGGTGCGCCAGCTGGAGGTCTTGGTCGGTGTAGCCATACACGATCACCTTTTCGGTATTCAGGGCCTCGACTTTGGCGATCGTAATACTCCTTCTGGCTGTGTTGCGCTCTGTTCATATGCTCCTGCACGCTTTGAAAGGCTACGCGGACTCTCTCACGGGTTATGCGGACGTATTCCGACAAAGAGTAAGCTTCAACCGGACAGACAGGTGATAGTAATTCCAGAGGTAAGCGAATCTCACGGCTGAGAGTAAGGTAAGCTGGAGAATAGCCGGTTGTAGAGTGCACCGAGGCCCGATAGGCAAGCATACATTGTGGTAATGCTTCGTCCCACTGATTAGACTGATGGCGCTCGACGAAGCTCTGTAGAATAGCCTTGATAGTCCTGTTGGTCCGCTCAACGAGCCCATTTCCTTGTGGATGATACGGTGTAGTTCGTGTCTTTTTAATGGCTAGCAAGCGGCACATTTCTTGCATTAGATGACTCTCAAAAGCCGCGCCCTGATCGGAGTGCAAGGATATGGGTGCGCCGTAACGAGCCACCCACTCGTTGACGATGGTGGAAGCGACAGTGGATGCATTTTGGCATCTGATAGGTATTGCCTCGCACCACTTCGTGAAGTAGTCTATCATAACTAGTATGAAGCAGTTCCCGCTCTTTGTTATCGGCAGAGGACCAATGATGTCTACTCCAATTCGTTGCCCTGGTGCGGAAGTAAGTATTGGTTCCAAAGGAGCACGAGGGACCGGCACCATTGGTTTCAAAGTAGCACAGAGCTCACATGACGCACAGAATTGAACGACATCGGCGTGGATGCCCGGCCACCAATACCGTTGTCGAACTGCAGCCTCCGTTTTCAACTGACCGGAATGGCCCAATTGTTGATGAACTTTTTGTAGTATTCCAAGAGATCGGGTCATCGGAGTAATCAGTTTCGGACCGGATTTATCAACGCGATACAGAACACCGTCGATGATTCTCAAGTCCTTCCAGTGCCCGAGTAGGGAGCGCTCTTCTGTGGTACGTTCACGAAGTTCAGTTCCAGTGGGTTTCGAGGAGCCATTCAGCTGTCGGTTGTAGGTGTTAGCTATATACGGGTCACATGCTTGCTCTTCGGCCCACGCAATATCAGTCTCTGGGGTTACGAAAGCCGAATTTACCTGTTCGGATCTCACTAACCTTGACAGCGCGTCTGCATTAGAGTGTCGTGTCCCTGGACGATATTCGCAGGTAAAATCGTATTCTTGAAGCTGTTCCTGCCATCTTGCTATCTGACCCTCCGGCTCACGGAAGTTTTTTAACCACTGAAGTGACTGGTGATCAGTGCGAACCTGAAATGACTTTCCAAGTAGGTACGGCCTGAAATGTCGCAAAAAGCTAACCAGCGCCAGTAGTTCCCGTCGAGTGGTGCTGTACTTTCTCTCGCGTTTATCTAAGCGGCGACTAGCGTAGGAGATCACAACTTCGCCTGCCGGTGTTCTCTGGGATAAAACTGCGCCGATCGCTTCATCGCTCGCATCTGTATCCAACACAAAAGCTCCCGACTCTGGTGAGGTGTCAGGGAGAGCCAAGATTGGGGGTGTCGTAAGATGAACTTTCAACTCCGCAAAAGCATTCTGACATTCGTTAGTCCAGCAGAATTTTCGTCCCTTCTCCGTTAAACGATGTAAGGGGGCTGAGATGGCCGCAAAATTAAAAATAAACCGCCGATAGTACGAAGCCAATCCTAAGAAACTTCGGAGTTCTGCTGTCGTTTTGGGTTGTGGCCAGGAAGTAATTTTTTCACATTTGGCGGGGTCGGTCCTCACACCTTCATGGGAGATAATGTGTCCTAAGTACTTAACTTCACGCAGGAGAAAATGACATTTTGGACCACGTAGTTTCAAGCCCGCCAGACTCAGCCGATCCAGTACGAGGCGCAGCCGCCGATTATGCTCCTCAATCGATCGCCCATAAACGATTATGTCGTCCAAATAAATTAAACAGCTACCTGGTGTTAGGCCCTCCAGGGCTTTCTGCATTAGTCTCTGAAACGTAGCCGGAGCATTAACCAGACCAAAAGGCATAGTTTCGAATTCATATAGACCGTTGGGAACAGTGAACGCCGTTTTCTCACGATCCTTGGGTCTTACTTCTACTTGCCAGTAACCACATGCAAGATCCAACGTAGAGAACCAGCATGAACCATGGAGTGCATCGAAGGTGGCATCAATACGGGGCAGTGGAAATGAGTCTTTACGTGTTACCTCGTTAAGCTTTCGATAATCAACACAAAGCCGTAAGGTCCCGTCTTGCTTCTTCACTAAAACGATTGGCGACGCCCACGGTGACGATGAAGGTTTAATGATACGTTTGTCCAGCATCTCTTTGATCATTGACCCTAACTGCGGTTCGTAATGAACCGGCAACCTGCGCGCATGTTGACGAATAGGTCGATGGGACATGGTGTCAATCTCATGTTCAACTAGGTTCGTACGGCCAGGAGAATCAGCTGTCGAAAACACCTCTTCAAACTCTCGTAGCACTGAGATTAACTGGTCAGTGTTGTCTGTGGTAACGTTAGTGCGTCCAATAATTGGCTCAATGACCTCCTTTTGGAAATGCGATGTTACTGAACAAGTGGCTGCAGTAGTGAAGGCTCCTCGACCGTCCTGGTGATGATCAATGACGGTTGGCGTAGGAGTCAGCAATACGGTCCCGCATTTAAGTGCTACTGTACAACCATGTCGGGTGAGGAAATCCATTCCCAAAATAGCGTCCCAGGTCAAATTTCGACAAGCTATAAAGTTATGAGTGGCTACTACCCCATCAAGTTTGACGCGTGCTTGCAGTGTAAACTCTGTTCGCAACTCTACCCCATTAGCGGTGATAACACGAGGCTGCTGGCTGGTAACCGTGCACACGTTCCTAAGGCTGTGGGCGATATCAAGGCGAAGTAAAGAACACGAAGCACCAGTATCAATCAAAAAATGCACGCTAATATCATCTAAACACCCTGGTATCGTCAAAGGTTTAGAGTGTAGATTGCTAGTGAAAGTTGATGCCAAAAACTGACAATTGTGCAAAGTTGACCTACCTCGTGGTTTTCGAAAAACAATAGGTGGGTTGTGTCCACAGCGCTGGGCCCGTCTGCCGAACCGCTGACAGTATACGCAGTTCTCCACGGGGGATTTTCGTGCTGGGGAATGGTGCATGTGATCAGCTGCGAAAACGTCGGTCGATGGGCGTAAAGTTGAACAACTATCATGACCAAGATGGGTTCGGTCGGCTTTGACTTGCTCCAAAAATTCCCGATTCCTGGCCTTTTCCAGCACCTCCTCCAGCGAACGAGGAAGTTTCAATGTATATTTGTCACGGAGGTACTGGTCGCGTAGGCCCATCGCAAATCTCTCACATATCCACTTTTCCAGATCCGCGTATTGAAGATCTGGAAACCCTTTGTGAGCCAAAATTCGGAGGGCTGCGAGGAAGGCATCTGCGTTCTCTGAGGGTAGCTGACGCCGAGCAAAGAATGTGTCACGGTAGAACGCAACGGGGTGGCATTTGAAAAACAAGCTTCGGAGAGTGGCCCAGATCTTCTCCACTGGTGAATTAGCTGGTACGCTCATCGTCAAGAAAATCTGCAATGCTTCTTCGCTTAAAAAGCTGAGGATGATCGAGCCGAGTGACCTTTCTGGCGCTGAAGCGATGTACCCACTGACTTGAAAGTACCAGCTTTCAAAGTCATCACCCGGGCTGAAAACCCGCGGTTGGCGACTGAGGGATTGAATCTGCAAACTCGTCTCTCGGACACAACACTCAATCTTCGGTGGGCTGAAATCACTTTTGCTCATACTTGTAGGACTGCCCGCGACGCCAATTTGTAATATATTCCGGATGGCAGGTTCGAGACACGGACGAGAAGTCCCGGCTACAAACGAACGACACGTGAGAATCAGCGACCGAGTAACTAACACAGTAGCTCGTACGAAACGGCAATCATGCAA